TCTTTTTTTTTTTTTTCATGGACATTTCAGCTTTTGTTAACTAACTGAACAAATTCATTGAAGGTTTTGGGGCAGAATAGCTTCCTGAGATATCCTTTTGTGTCTCGTTCCCTTCCCTATAGTTACCCTTCCCTCCTCTGCCTCAAGGAGGTAGTAAGACCCTGGTGTGCCCTTGTCTTTGGGGTCTTGTGTTGCTGCAGAGCTGAAAACAGACGTTCTGCTCGGAGAAGACATACTTCCTCCTGCTTTTGTCTCTGCTGCCTGTACTTATTGAGGGACGGGCAGGGAGCGGGCTGTGGGTTTCTGAGGGTGCGCAGCCTGACTGAAGACTGAGTCCCTGAGAAGGAAAGAAAGAGCAGGATCGCTGGGGGTACTCACGAGGTATGGACACCTGACCCACAACACCCACAACCGGGGCAGGAGTGGGGTGGGGTAGACATGACTAATTAAGAGCTGTGGCCTTAAAATTCCTGTGTGTGGGGGCGGAAAATTTCCAAAGCCCAGGCCTCAGAAGAACCTGCCTCCTGGTTCCATGCCGGCTTGGACTGAAGCCTGGAGGAGGTGCCAGTGCAGGCAGAGTCCGGAGGGCCCTCTGCATGCTGTGTATGGCACAAGTCACCAGAGACAGCCCCGTGAACCTGGGGAGGAGGCGTGCCCCAATAATGACAGATTAAATTTCAAGGGGGAGAGTAGAAAGCTCAGGGCAAATGCAATTCAACTGAGAGAAATACAAGAAGTGTGAGGTTTCTTGCTAATCAGAGAGTAACACCTACTAAGCGCTAGGTACTCTACCAAACTCGAAACAGATAAACGAGCGCCTATTACCCTCACGGGACTCGGATCCAGGTGAGGTGACACAGCGCAGACCTCAACGTGAAGACATGTCACAGATGCCAGGGGCTCCCAGGGAGCACCACCTCTGTCGGGACAGGGAAGGCTTCCAGAACGGCTCACCTTTGTTCTGAGTCTTCAAAGATGAACTGGAGGAGGATGGGGGTGGAGTTGAGAGCATTCTTCAGGGGAGGATGGGAGTGGAGTCGAGAACATTCTGTACAGAGGAACAGAAGCGTGAAATAGCCTGGCATGTGTGGGAGACTGTAAAGAGATGGATACCCAGAGCCTAAGGCAGGTTGTTACTGGATGTG